GAAAAATAAAACAGCATACAGGTTCAAAATACCATGAGGGAGAGTAAATGACAGAATTTTCATTTTTGAGTAAACTATACTTTTAATTCATATGATGTTTAAGCTATACTACCTGAGACACTCTTCCACTGCTGCTATTCTTTCCGAGTTAACGCTACGCGCCCCAGAACAACATGCCACACACATGCAGTCGCCATCTTGTGTTGGACAGGACAGACACCGGATGGGCACTGTGTGTGTGTTTGTGTGTAAGCCACTTTTTCCTCTCTGGCCAAAGGCAGGAGGTGGTAGAGGGTGCAGCTGTCCCTACCTCTCCTGTCCCACCATCGTCCAGGCAGTTAGCCAGCAGCGTATAGAGATTCACGAGCCTCTGAACAACCCTACATGCTCTCTAGACCTGCACACACACTCTTTCTCTCACATGTGCTCGGCCTCCCTATGGATGAGTGTTTAGCTATGCAAAAGCCTTGCCATTTCACGAAGAACTTGCAGTGTTGTGGATTTACACTGTCACTATGGTATAACCAGGGCATATTTTGGATACGGTAACATGGTAATACCATAATATTCTTAGAAGTACCTTGGAGTACCATGTAAATAAAGTAATATATAAATCAAATAAAATTTGTCAAAAGTCAAATTAGCATGGTATTAGCATGGTCTGAATCCATAATGAAAGTTCACGATGTAATGAAACAACAAATTTAGCTTTAGTTACAGTATTTGATAAATGTCAATATAAATGAGAAGCATCATGAAAACAAGTCATTGCAATTACAGACATTCCTATTTGGACGGGATCCTTCTCAGAGGACTTGTGTGTTAGGAGGAAAACAGTAGGTAATTTGCTCTGCGGTTTTAACAAGGTTTTTGTGAGGAAAAACACACACATTTACCTGGCCTCCTCAGGGAAAACTTGTCCCGACCAAATAGGGCTATTAACTGAACTACTGCAACCGAATTAACACGGTTCACCAAAGACAGGAAGGAAGGAGTGAAAAGAAGGAGCAAACAAATAAAGGATGAATGAGACCAACAAACAAAGAAAACAATTTCCTGCAACCTGAAATTGGGAGGATTCACGGTGGGCTTGTATGTCTGTGTTACCTCAATGATGTCTGCGTTGGTCCTGCTTTCGTGCGGCTCATTGTACTCAGTGTATTTGAGGAGCACTTTGTCCATGTCGGTGCTGGCATACTGGAAGAGCTTGTTTGAGTGATTGAAAATAATGAGGGCAATCTCACAGTCACACAACACACTGAGCTCGTAGGCTTTCTTCATCAGACCAAACTTCCGTTTGGTGAAGGTCACCTGTGGATAGAGAGAGAAAGATGAGGTTAGAGAGGGAGAAAAAGATGATGATTGAGATGAAGGATGAGAACTGAAAACTACATATTTTATTTGCAGTGAAACAAAAAAGAAGATCCTAAAGTTATAGTCTGCTTAAAACAACCAATTACGCACATTCATGTTGTTCCAAACATGAATGTCTTTCTTTCCTGTGTGAAACTCATAAGAAGATATTCTGAAGAATCTATTTTGATGTTCAATTTAAATAAAATTACAAATAAGGATTAGAGCTTTCAAGATTCAAAAAGGATGCAAAAGCACTATTATTATATCATAAATATGTTATCTTAAAGTAATATGATAAGATATATGATATTTAAATGGACATACTGAAATTTAAGACAATCTTGATATGTGCTGAGCCATTCAGAGTTCGCTTAACAGTTAGCCTAACAATTTCACTGTCTGGGAAGATACACATGCAAATTTGGCCATTAAATTGCCATTAAAAATGCCATTAAACAAGAAGAAAAATGTAGTTAAACATTAAGAAAAAGAGGAAGACAAGGATGAGTGAAGAGATGAGAACTATATCTAATGCAATTTTGCTTCTTAGGTAAATTTGTCTTATTTTAAAGGGGTGGTTCATGTTTTTTTTCTAGGCTTGATTGTGTTTATGGGGTGCAGTCTAATATGTGCTAATGCTTTGTTACCTTTATTCCACACCACTCTGTCCCTTCTCTGAGAAACAGAGCCCCTCCCTCAAAAATACGCGATGGGCTCTGATTGGTTAGCTAGCCCAGTGTGTTGTGATTGGCTAAACCGCCTCTAGTGCACGTCTAATCGTCCCACCCCTCTCCTCAGCGGCATGTGCTCCAGTTGTATTGTAAACAACGGCGTCGTTAATATCGCTTATCAGTTTGAGCCCGATTGAGAAGCAGAGGATATTATTGACAAGGATCGTGCAGAACCTGTTGCAAGCACGGCTTTTAATGGTAGGCCTATGTTTTTTGTTTGTTGTTGTCTCATACTTTTAGATACGCCCTGAGTATGTGTGTGTGTGTGTGTGTGTGTGTGTGTGTGTGTGTGTGTAATCGTGTATACAGTGAGCTGTAAGGTGAATGAGGGGTTTTCTCTGGGTGAATGTAAGCCACTTCATAATTTAGAAACAGCAAATCTCCCTCACTTCATTGAACGGTCTCTTTTTGCCTGCATGTCTCTCTCTTTCTGGTCTCTTAAAGTCAAATAACCAGGTAAAGCAGAGAAGACGTGTTTTTAATTGGGCATGAGCCACAGGAAGGGCCTTCTGAATGGTGCTACCCCCAAAAACATCAGGCCAAACACTGGGAACTCAGCACCAGGTCTGCCTCTACTGTCACTCTGCCTCTCAATATTGCATGAGACAGCCTTCAGCCTTAACACACACAAAGCAGCCCAGTCAGCCTTGAGCTGATGTGGCCCACAGCGGCCTAACGCCCTCACCACACACACACGCGCACACACACACACACACACACACACACACACACGCGCACACACACACACACAGTCTCTCTCTCTCTCTCTCTCTCAAGAGATTTCTGCAGCTGCACCCAACAGGAAACATGCACCTGTACCACCGGGGGCTTCTGCAAAAGAGTCATCAGTTTCTCAACATCACACACTCTACAGAAGTATTCACCCTCTGATGACTGCATTTTAAACTGCACAGAATGACCATCTAATCTTGAAATAAATGCTTTACTTTCTTCTGTACACACACACATTTGAAGTTTTAAAGGAACAGTTCACCCAGAAATTACAATTCTGTTATGATTTACCCACCATCATGTAGTTTCAATCAACATTCAGTTATTTTAAAAGTATAGTTCACAGTGAACAAGTTCATAGCGATGACAAATTGGACTTGTGTGAATTGTGCACTACATCCTGGATCTTCTTAAGTCATGATAGTTTTGAGTGAGTAAAAGACCCAAATTTAAGTTGTTATTCACTGCAATCTCTACCTCTAGTAAGCCAGAGAACCAAAGCAACTAAATCACTGAATCAGTGAGTTGAACTTGAGTACCAGTTCTATCCAATTTGGAAACAAATCATTCTTTTGAGCTGGTTCTTTTCAATTAAATGTTTGATCCGGTTCACAAGTTGCACTGAATGATTCATTATGGAAAACAGCTGCATTAAGGTGCATCAAGACAAGAAAAAATAACATATGGGTTAGGAATACGGATATGAGGTTGAGTAAATAATGACAGAATTTTTTCTTTTTGGGTGAACTCTCTTTTTAATTCGGGCAGCATTCAAACTATATAATCTGAGACACTCTTTAACTCTTCCGGTGAGGTTATATGATAGTTCTGTGTGAGTAAAAGACCTAAATATAAGTTGTTGTTCACTAATAATCTTCTTTTCCAGTGAGCTGTTAACTCGAGGACCAAAATATCCAAATCATTGAGTCAGTGAGTTGAACTTAAGAACCAAACCAGTTCAATTTGCATGTGAATCCCTTGTTTGAGCCGTTCTTTTCAACGAACCGCTTGGTCCAATTCATAAATTGCATTGAACTACTCATCATGGGAAACAGCTGCATTAAGGTGCATGAAGAAAAATAAAACAGCATACAGGTTCAAAATACCATGAGGGAGAGTAAATGACAGAATTTTCATTTTTGAGTAAACTATACTTTTAATTCATATGATGTTTAAGCTATACTACCTGAGACACTCTTCCACTGCTGCTATTCTTTCCGAGTTAACGCTACGCGCCCCAGAACAACATGCCACACACATGCAGTCGCCATCTTGTGTTGGACAGGACAGACACCGGATGGGCACTGTGTGTGTGTTTGTGTGTAAGCCACTTTTTCCTCTCTGGCCAAAGGCAGGAGGTGGTAGAGGGTGCAGCTGTCCCTACCTCTCCTGTCCCACCATCGTCCAGGCAGTTAGCCAGCAGCGTATAGAGATTCACGAGCCTCTGAACAACCCTACATGCTCTCTAGACCTGCACACACACTCTTTCTCTCACATGTGCTCGGCCTCCCTATGGATGAGTGTTTAGCTATGCAAAAGCCTTGCCATTTCACGAAGAACTTGCAGTGTTGTGGATTTACACTGTCACTATGGTATAACCAGGGCATATTTTGGATACGGTAACATGGTAATACCATAATATTCTTAGAAGTACCTTGGAGTACCATGTAAATAAAGTAATATATAAATCAAATAAAATTTGTCAAAAGTCAAATTAGCATGGTATTAGCATGGTCTGAATCCATAATGAAAGTTCACGATGTAATGAAACAACAAATTTAGCTTTAGTTACAGTATTTGATAAATGTCAATATAAATGAGAAGCATCATGAAAACAAGTCATTGCAATTACAGACATTCCTATTTGGACGGGATCCTTCTCAGAGGACTTGTGTGTTAGGAGGAAAACAGTAGGTAATTTGCTCTGCGGTTTTAACAAGGTTTTTGTGAGGAAAAACACACACATTTACCTGGCCTCCTCAGGGAAAACTTGTCCCGACCAAATAGGGCTATTAACTGAACTACTGCAACCGAATTAACACGGTTCACCAAAGACAGGAAGGAAGGAGTGAAAAGAAGGAGCAAACAAATAAAGGATGAATGAGACCAACAAACAAAGAAAACAATTTCCTGCAACCTGAAATTGGGAGGATTCACGGTGGGCTTGTATGTCTGTGTTACCTCAATGATGTCTGCGTTGGTCCTGCTTTCGTGCGGCTCATTGTACTCAGTGTATTTGAGGAGCACTTTGTCCATGTCGGTGCTGGCATACTGGAAGAGCTTGTTTGAGTGATTGAAAATAATGAGGGCAATCTCACAGTCACACAACACACTGAGCTCGTAGGCTTTCTTCATCAGACCAAACTTCCGTTTGGTGAAGGTCACCTGTGGATAGAGAGAGAAAGATGAGGTTAGAGAGGGAGAAAAAGATGATGATTGAGATGAAGGATGAGAACTGAAAACTACATATTTTATTTGCAGTGAAACAAAAAAGAAGATCCTAAAGTTATAGTCTGCTTAAAACAACCAATTACGCACATTCATGTTGTTCCAAACATGAATGTCTTTCTTTCCTGTGTGAAACTCATAAGAAGATATTCTGAAGAATCTATTTTGATGTTCAATTTAAATAAAATTACAAATAAGGATTAGAGCTTTCAAGATTCAAAAAGGATGCAAAAGCACTATTATTATATCATAAATATGTTATCTTAAAGTAATATGATAAGATATATGATATTTAAATGGACATACTGAAATTTAAGACAATCTTGATATGTGCTGAGCCATTCAGAGTTCGCTTAACAGTTAGCCTAACAATTTCACTGTCTGGGAAGATACACATGCAAATTTGGCCATTAAATTGCCATTAAAAATGCCATTAAACAAGAAGAAAAATGTAGTTAAACATTAAGAAAAAGAGGAAGACAAGGATGAGTGAAGAGATGAGAACTATATCTAATGCAATTTTGCTTCTTAGGTAAATTTGTCTTATTTTAAAGGGGTGGTTCATGTTTTTTTTCTAGGCTTGATTGTGTTTATGGGGTGCAGTCTAATATGTGCTAATGCTTTGTTACCTTTATTCCACACCACTCTGTCCCTTCTCTGAGAAACAGAGCCCCTCCCTCAAAAATACGCGATGGGCTCTGATTGGTTAGCTAGCCCAGTGTGTTGTGATTGGCTAAACCGCCTCTAGTGCACGTCTAATCGTCCCACCCCTCTCCTCAGCGGCATGTGCTCCAGTTGTATTGTAAACAACGGCGTCGTTAATATCGCTTATCAGTTTGAGCCCGATTGAGAAGCAGAGGATATTATTGACAAGGATCGTGCAGAACCTGTTGCAAGCACGGCTTTTAATGGTAGGCCTATGTTTTTTGTTTGTTGTTGTCTCATACTTTTAGATACGCTGTTATTTGTAAATGCTACTGCTTATGTTAGCTTTTAATATACAATTTTATCCTGATTAAAGCTTTAATACAGTACGGCAACTGCACGCGCGTCCATGTTTAACGCTTCTCTAGCTATGTGAAAATAAGTGTATAATTGGAATAGTTCATTGTAGGAGGTGAGCTGAATGAGAGAGAGAGAGATGCAGAGTGTGTGTAAAGCAGGGGGACGTGAGGAACAGTATTAAGAACCGCTGCTTTAGAACATTGATTTTGAAACTTGTGAATCCATTAGAAACGTTAGAAGACAGAATCGTGATTCATATATGAATAGGTTTTTACGTGCACCTCTAGTTTTCTCTTCCTCTTCTCTCTAGCAGTGCAGCATGGCCTCGCCCCCTTTGCTGCCTTTTCCCGAGGGCAGGGTTTATCTGGGTTTGTGATGTCACAAACCCGGGAAGTAACTCATTGTAGTCCCTACCAGCCGTTTTTGTAGGCATTAAACTCCCAGCATTTTAAAAGACAATATCTCCGTTTGCATTGAACTTTCAACTTCGTAACTTTGCAGATAATGTTTATGCTCAAACAGCAACATTAGACACTAACTAACGTTAAAAAAGTGAAATCGCAATGAACCACCCCTTTAAGGCTATTAGATAACTTCGGAATACAAAGTCAAAATTTGCACTATGGTGCTTTTGTGTTATTTTCAAAGCGTGAAAGATCCAGTGCCCATTCATTGTCATAGAAAGGTGAAGATGAACCAGCTAAAAGACCAACTACATTCTTTCAAAACATCTTCTTTTGGAATTCAACAGAAGAAAAGAAAGTCATAAAGGTTTGGAACCACATGAGGCTGAAAACAATAGTGACAGGATTTTTAAAATGTTTCGTGAATTACTCCAATGGGAATTTTTGCAGTGCACAGAGGTTGACTAGGTATTAGCCGCTGAAGAGCCGATTCTTCTCTCTCAGAATTGACCGGCTTTCTTTCTTGCTCACTGCTAGCAAAAGTGCCACCTCAAGAAAGAAAGTTTTTCTGCTCAAACCCAGGACTCCTTAACCTTAAGAGCTCGACAGTGTTAGCAGTGATTGTATCTCTGTAAATAAAAGCACTTTTCCATTAAATGAAAGAATCTCCTCCAACTCAACAATCAAGGAGCTGATGTTCCTTCTCTTCACACTAGCACCAGGAAAAACACCAGCAACATAATTGCCATCGAAAATAGAAATCGCAGGTAACCAATGGCAACAGGAGAATACAACTTTATCATTGTGAAGAATGTTGAGAGGCAGCGACCTGACTTCTTTCCACTTCTCTCTCTCGATCCAATTAACCTCAGAGCCGAATGCTTACCTACTGACCTTCACCGCACACGCGGACTCAAGCTTGCTCTCTCACCTGCTGCTGTCTGTCTTTTCCGGATGCCTCTGTTCTTCTACACCTCTCTTCTTTGCTTGCCTCAATGCTGGAGTTTGGTAATTAAAATGCACATTTTATTGCAGCAAAGACTGTAGTTCATGTCCTCTTCTCATACTCTTTAATTCTTTAATTGCTCAAATACCTGTTACACCACAGGAAGGTCGGAAGGACAAGATGTACAGAGCAGAATGGTTTTCTAGAGGAAATCTCAATTAAAAGTGATATTTAGCACAAATTGAGGCTTAATCTGGGTCAAACAAACTACACGACTTTTTTTGTAACTTTGTTAAAAATATGATTAGTCAGGCACACCTGAGGGAGACAAGAGAGCGCTGACACAGCGAAGCAGGCTAAGGTTGAGTATGCACACCTGCTCCGGTCAGAGTGACTACACCTATCAGCACAACTGTGACCAGAAAAACATTTCCCATACATTCACAGCCATCCTTCTAAGAGATTACACACTAGCGAGTGGAATTTCTAACTCTAAACTAAACATCATAATTACTTTAAAAGCTTTCATTAGGATACTGTTATGAAGTTTGTGATTTAACAAGTTTCATATGAAAGGTTTACCTATAGTGGAACATGGGGAGCCGAGAGAACAGAAATGAACCTTAGGTGAACACCACTTAGGTGAATATAACAAAATAGCAAAAATGAACACTTTGGTAATACTATGTATTAATCTAAACAAGTCAAACATTGCAGTGTTTGTATAGTTAATAAAAACTGCTTAAACAAAAATTACACAAAAAACTATTATATACTGTATATTTATATAATTTGTTTCTGTGCTTGATTAAAAAAATTAAATATCTGTTTTATCCTTTAATTTATACTAAATTATACTCATTTATACTTAATTTAAAAAATTGTTAATTAATTAATGAATTTATTTTTTAATTTTTTTTTAACATTTTCAATCTGTTTACTGTTTCTTTTATTTGCACCACTGTTGGCTATTCTTGGTGTATATCTGCTAGCCTAGGACACAGTTTATAATAAAGAATGAGCTAAAAAATAAATCAATACATAAATTTTAAAAAACAACAACATGAAATGCCACAGGATGACACTAGACAGCCCTGAGAAATTTGATGCAGTTATTCATATTTAAATTATATAAGGTAACTCATTACCTACGGCAGCCCTAAAATACTAAAATTTAATTAAAATGAAATGTACTCAAAGACTAAAACAAACTAGTGATGCACAACATTAAAAATTTAGCAGATAAGATGATAATTATTTTCATGTTATAGCTGAAAACTGATATCATTGGCCGCTATGACATATCCATTTTTCTAAATAAATTCTAAATAAAGAATAAAATCAGTTAGAATTGAATGTAGGTATCACAAAATTAGAATGTACTGTATAAAAAAAAATAGATATTTGATTTTCTAAAAATTACATTATAATTATGTATCCAGTATAGTCCGACACATAATGATTAATTAATAAAAAAAAAAATCTGGCAATAACCAATATGGTACCAATTTATTGCACATTTCTGAATAAAACCAATACTAAAGCTCAAATAAACTAAAAGTAACAGTTATATGTAAAAAGTAATGAAAACTTAACAAAATCCTGCTGCATCAGTTGAGACAGAAATTGAAAAACTGCACCACTCAAACAAACAGCAATGCTTTGAAAGCACCAGTGTTTGCACCCTAAGGGAAGAAAACCTATCAGTAGTTAACTTGTAGTTGTCTCTGCTTATTAAACTGGGATAGGAAAAAGTACTTAAAGATAAAAAAAAATCCACACCTCAACTATAAATCAACAGAAACCTTTCACTGGAGGAGTAAGATTTGATTTGGCCTTACGCTGTTTGTCCTGTACAAGATGTCTAAATTACAAATGCAACTTAAGGCAACTCACAAGAGTCAGACCTAATAAGAATGATTTCAGTTCAAATCCTGTGTATATTCCAGAGAAAGCTGACAAAATGAATTATTTTCAGTTACGTATTCAAAACTGAAAATAATTCTCATATGTTCAACTAAAACACTGATGCGGCAGACAGTCAGGCTTTGCACTCACCTGTCTGTTACGCTCGTCTGTAATTCGCTGAATCTGGATCTTTTTCCTCCCCATGGCTGCTGTGATTGGCCGAGCAGGGGTGGGGGCAAGGTTGGGGGTGTGGTGAGGTCAGAGGTCAAAATTTCTTGAGGCAGTTACAGGAGCACAAACAGCGACAAGTCGCCTCTGTGTATGAAGATGTGTGTGTGAGAGAGTCTCTCTCTCTCTCTCTCTCTCTCTCTCTCTCTCCAGATGCCACCTGTCTGAAGCAGCTGGGCTCACCCGTCTTCCTCCACTGATAAAAACAGGAAGGAGGGAAGGAAGGAAGTAAGTATGTGGCCTCCTGGAAGGGCCTTCAGATCATGGTCTGCTCAGGGTGCATGTCATCCGACAGGTGTCTTTTCTGATATCCAAACCCCCCTGGAAAAAATCTGGTGATGAAGATGATGATGGTCTTGGGATGAATTCTGTGAAAGAAAAGAGAGACGGAACTTAAAAACAAAACTGGTGTGACACCTAAGTATTAGGGTAGTCAATCGATTGAAACATTTTCTGTTGGGGGGTGGATCACAATTAAATTACGTATTACATGTATCTAGATCAAAGTCATTTAGAACAAAAGACAGAAAAACAGACAAATGGGCTTCTTACAATATTATAGCAAAAAAAAAAAAATTTTTATATTTGCTAAATATACAAAAAATGTATTACATAATATGTTGGTTAACGCATCACATGAATTGCAATGCATCACATATACACAACCGTTTAACAGTTTAGGCTTGGTAAGATTATTTTTATGTTTTTGAAAAGTATATTATGCTCACCAAGGCTCTTTCATAAATTTGTTAATATCTAAACTGTCACTTTTGATCAATTCAGTGTATCCTTGCTGAATAAAAATCTTACTGGTCCCAAATTGTGAACAGCAGTGTATCAATATTTACATAATTAATTATTTAATTTTATACAATTTAAGAGCCCAACAAACTGAATTTCAATTATATGCTTCTGCTACCTGCTCCTGTAATTTTATGAAGAAAAAAAATCTTGAAAGATTATAAAGATTATTATTCTTACTAAAGATTATAAAGAGTATTATTCTTAATAATTTCAAACACAAAGCCTTTACCATTGAGCCTGTCAAATATCTTGCTGTCTGTGATTATTGTGTCACTTACTCACCCCTACATTTATGCAAATGAAGGGTGAATTTCAAGCCTCCAAACTTTAGGGTTCCCACACTCCCTTGTCAGTAAATTTCCATTGTTTTTCCAGGATTTTTGCAAATCCATTTTTAAAGACTGGACTCAAAAAGAGTAATTTTTAGCTTAACAAATACTTTAAAACTAATCAAACTAGAATAAAATAATTTCCATGACTTTTTAAAGACACTGTTAATTTCTTTTTCAGGCATGGAAATCACACTTTTGAAGTTCCCTGATATTGCTAGGTTTCAGGACCATGATGGGAACCCTGAAGCTAAAGAGCCGCCTGGACAGAATAAGCAAACCTCACCTCAACCGTCGCTGGGTTTCCCCTAAAAAACACATAGCATGACATCCACATATACAGCTGGGCAGAGCCCCTTTCTGCAGCCTGACAGAGCCTGATTATGTGTTCTTGTTTACAAACCGCTGACGCCGATGTCGCTTATAGACCTAAAGCATCTTCACCTGCAGGGAAACACCTGCTGAAGTGTCTCTCTACTTGAGTGTGTCATCCAGCAGCACTCACAGTGTTCTCACAATAATAAGTCACCCTTGTAGTTGTTTAGTCAACATGGATATTTAGCTGCGTTTGAAGGTTAAGTGAATTTTTCACTTTATAATAATAAAAAAACATGTTGAAACAAACAGTGAGAACAGATGCCTGGGAGCAAGACGGCACAAGTTTGTGTGTATGAATGAATGGCTGCATGAATGGATTTACTGCCGCCTAAGAATTGTCATATGGGCCAGGATAATTTTAAAACATGCTATTATTATCTCTGCCTTCGATTAAAAAGCAACCAGGGGCTTAAAACAGAATTCTATATATATACATCCAGACTGTACACACTCACACTCACACATCCCCACATGACTGCTGACACAAGCTGACTCCCTGATCAGGGAAGCCTTCAAACTTCCTCATTTCCTCTTTTCAGGTCAAAGTGCACATGCTCAGAGACAAACTTATGAGAGTCTGTCCAACTCGAATGACGAGTTTTTACTTCCTTGCCACTTCCCTTGCAATAAAAAGCAACAAATAGCCCAAATTTTCACTTCCAGTCCAGAATTAACATGAATTCTATAGGCCTCTTGGAGAAAGCACACAATTAATAAGTGTAGTTCAGAGTTATTGTTGAATAGAAGCATATTGAAGACTGCAAAAAGGGCAACTGGAAAAGGTCTTCTACCTTATTCCTGCCAAACAAATTCTTTCTGGTAAAGTAAACATCTTCAAAGGGTTGCAGTTTGTTCGAGCCAACCGTCATGTCAAAATTATATCATAACAATCCTGATAGGTTGATGGCACCGTGAGAATGCAAAAGTATCAACTCTTCTAGGCTGTTTTTTCTTTCTGAAAAGCAGACAAGAAATATATTTCCCCACTACAAGCTTTTAAGCTAAAGAAAACTAAACAAAACACCAAACACGTCTATTAAAACAGAATGAGATTTTTGCCAAACTAAAAAAAAACAACATAATGGTGTAGTTATGGCATCTGAATAATGGTGGATGACTGCATGGAAAAGGCAGAAGTAATGTTTGGAAACAGGCAGATCTGTAAAGGAATTAAACACTTCACCATTAAAGCCGACTTTTTACTATTTCCGACATTCACGCATGACTCGTCTGCATTTCGTGAATCAGTCGTTATCTCCGCTTATTCACTAGGTTAAAATGAATGAATGATGAAAGTATGATTATACGCACACAAAATAAATAACCACCAATATGTTTGAAAGAAAAACATAGTAGCTTTTCTATGGATAATCAGCCTAAATAATTATGTAATAATCATAAAACAATTATTTCAGTTATTCATAACCACCCATTTTACAGAAATCGTGTTAGAGGGAAAATATTGGTAATTCACACCTTGTGCTAACAATTTTGATTGAAATACATGACATCTAGTCTGGTGGGCACATACAATCTAGCGAAAAGTTCAAATCAAAGCCCAAATTGGGCCTGAAAATTCTGCATAAGCATATGATCTGAACTCTACGCATCTCCTGTACAACTCTCCACTGAAAGTGAATGACTTCCAGGCTGTGGTTAATTAAAGACAGGAAAAGTGGCTTTAGAAACAAAAGCCATGCACTCTGCTAACTTGAGTGTTCTCCTTTCATAACAAAACAACTGAGAAAGACATCTAGGACTAGAAACACCGTCACTTTTTGTTTGTTCTAACATCTAGAGTGACAGAAAAGGTCAGAATGCAGTAGTAGCTTGCGTACTCTTATACACAATCCAAGCTGTTGGGCATGACAAAACAGTTCCTGTCACAAGCTTCATCACTTCTTTTACAGTAAAACATTGAACTGTGTGTGTGTGTGTGTGTGCGCATGAACGTTTACATGAGTTTTCTGACTCCAAATGGAGAGGATGTGTTGACAGGAAAGGTTTCCTCAGCCGGCTGTCAGCAGCGCAGGCTTGAGTTCAAAGCGACTCAGAGTCCGTTTGTGTGTTTTGGTCTGCAGGGCCAACACATGAAAAGACTTCTTTATCTGCAATGAGAGTCAGAGTTTGACCTTTCACCCTGTGAGCTCTGAGAGAGGCTAATTCCCAGCTCTGATCTCAGTCGCTTCACAAGGGACCTGGAAAGTGTCCTCAGACTGCGGTTCCTCACAGTCAGACTCTCTAACCACAGAGAACTTGGGAAGTACTGCTTGATAATGCTGAAACTTGATAACGTTATTCAAACTGGGGGCTGCAAGAGGATGTTAGAGGGTCCACAAAAAAAAAAAAGATAATATATATATATATATAATTATTTTTTTATTTTTTATTTTTTTGGTCAAAGTTAATTTAGGATAAATTACATATTCCTACTTTTCAACTTTTTTTTTTATAAATGATAATCTTTTTTTTAATATTATTATTATATAAAAGTATTTTTTAAATAAATCGAATAAAAAATTATTAGAATAGTTTATTATATTTACAGCATTATGTTTTTTATAAAATTAAATATAAAATATGCATATAATTTTGTGAAGAAAGAAAGAATGATAGTGATGGTACGACCGACTAAACTAATTATTACATTTTCTCAGGAAAATAAGAGTAGTGTTTGCCCATCTAACACTTGCACCACAATTGCCAGGGTGTTAGGGTGTACTGTATGGTTTTTAGCACATTTATGCGGTTGCTAAAATGTGCTTGAAGTCAAAAAGAGTCCAAATACTGCATGGGTCGATGTGAGAACTTTTTTTATGCAGTTCATCATCCGGCAGGTGAAAACTGCGAGAGTCTCATTTCTGAGAAAAATTACAGCACACTTCCAACAGGCTGCATGATTTGAGGTATTTTGTAAGTTTGTAGAACAAACGGTGTGGGACAGGTTACATGTCGAAGTTGGGGAACTCTGGGGTTTGTTTAGATCTCTAACCTTAAGGGTTAGCAAGTACCGCAATTAAACAATAAAGGAAAAACAAAGAAGGTCACAGAAAAAACACTGGTTCCTTTCCGTTTCTCTACTAGGGGAACCCCCTGCAACAAAGACAAAAACCTTCTTATCTTGAAAATTAGTCAAGCTCATGAAAATAAACTGATGTGAAATTAATAAACACACAGTTATGCACATGTGCACACATATACACACACACACACACACACACACACACACGTGTCAGCAGAAGGCATTTCACACTGCTCTCAGAACAAAAAGGTGAGCCGCTGTACGATGCAGCTGTCATACACACATACAGGGGGAAGGTGTTATAATTTTGAGCTGTGGCTTTGCTCATACCACTGAGGAAATCCTGCGGAACCAAGCTTCAGAATGCAACACAGGCAAAACAACATTTACACAGGCTTGCAAACAAGTGAAAAAAACACCTTGGTGTAAACATGTTCAAAGGCACATGCTGCTAGTGAAGAAGAACCCAAGAGAAAAAAAAAACTTGTGACCTTTCACTATATAGAGTAATTCTCCATCTTCGAGTAGCTCGGACCCACACGTTTGGGCTGCAGTGCTTGGGCTGCAAGGACTCTGAAGTACCAGAGCTCCGCTGGGATAAGCGCACGTTGCCCTCATCCATGTGTGGACAAATGGTATTCTGCGCGAGCGCGTATGCATGTGTAAGCATATCTCCTCCACAGGGTGTGTGTGAGAGAGTCCAGTTTTGTTATCCCTGCCTGTAACTAGAGGCAGAGTGGCCTGGGGCTTGGAGATAAGGGACCGTGCCAGAACTGGACTTGGACCAGGTCCAAAGCTGTGCTGAGAAATCCATCACCTTCCCAGCTCAGAGCAG